AGCTGATAGAAATAGAAAACATTCCCCAATACTTTGTCACTAACCATTTATAGCAAAGAACACTTGGCTGTCTTTATGCCTATCTTCTCGTTTAACTGGTATACCACAGTAGCAAGGGGACTCTCATTTTAAAAGCCATGGACCTCGTCACAGTGCAGAAGGACCCTCTCCACCAGTAGTACCTTTGAGAAGCAGGGGTCATGCAGGCTTCTAGCCTGCATTATAGTAGCACTAAAAACAATTGCTGGCAAGATATTTCTAGGAACATGTGAACATTTTCTGTTCCTTCCACTTATGGCAACGTGTGATACTTGGGCTTCTGATTTGGCAGTACCAACACCACAACTCGAGGCTGTTCTGTTTGCAGGATGGACAACTTGATGTGATGACCAAGGCAACTGAGAAGGGCAGATGCAGAGAATTTGCTTGAAAGCCCAAGAGCAGCCTTCTGCAATCAAGGTGAGCATGGCCAGGCAGCAAGGAGGTGGGTGGGCCTGGAATTCAGAATTATTTGGGGGAGTGCAGGACACAGCTGAGGTTGATCACAGCTCTCGGAGAACAAAGGAGCTGAGCCTTTTTAAACTAAAGTATGTAAGAAAAGAGGTGTGCAACACCTCAAATTTTCACTTCAAATCAGCACCCAAATCTTAGTCTCTTTTGCTGTGTTACTAATGAATAGTTTACATTTTTAGCTAGCTAATGAGTAGTTTATATTTTAAGAGTAGCTTTTGAAAGAAGAGCTGGAAACTGGCTTGCACTGTTAGCATTCACCCCTTCGTATTCATGCAGATCTGGGGAGTCTAAGCAGTTTGCATTACACCTCCTCAAGACTTTCAGCCTTCTCTAAACCTTTTTTAAAGGGAATCTCAGCCAATTTTCTCTTTTTTTATATTTGTCTTAGTGAAGATTTTCACTTCTTCCAGCCAAATGAGCAAGTCTATAATCCACCAAGCCATTTTTGGTCTAGTCAGAAATCGGTGATTTTAGAAGTCTTCACTAGACTTGATGCTGCACTATGGTGACCGAGTTCAAGTATTCCTCTGAATGGGGAGCCATCAACACTTGAGGCCAAATTTCCTGATACGTTCAGATTGACTCAATATTTAGTTGCAAGATGGGGGCCAAGAACCTAGGTCTGCCGTGGGCTGCTGCTGCGGGTGCAACCTCATCAACCCTGGGGAGAATGTGCATGTCATTCCTGTGGTATCTTTGCTGCTAGGTAGAGTGGTTGGTTCAGTCAGAGAGGAATTGAAAGGCTTTGCCAAAATCCGTAGATATTTTCCTTCTTATAGCCATGCTTCATTAATCAAGATGAGAAAGAGCCTTTAAGAAAAGAGCTTCATTTCCTGTGTGGCAGGCTACTATATAATAGGGTGCCTCAGGGCAGAGTATTGGAATTTTTCATTATGCCATGCACTAAAGCAAGCATTTTTCCCTGTACATGGGCCAGTGACATAAGAAAGAAGAGTATCAAAGCATAAAATCATAGCAGAAAAGATGATCAAGGGGACAGGATTGGCCACGGTTAGAAGGTGATGTGAATCCAGCACAAGGTACATCGCAGCTGGAAGGTGGCATTCATCTTCCTGTGGTGTCTTCCTTTGGCGTTAGTGTTTGCGTGGCCTGGCAATGAGCTGGGGTTACTTGGAGCAAACCTGGTGGTTGTGGTGGGTGAAGTTACAGCCAGTTGGGTTCCTGAGGTGGCTCTGCTAACACTGCCAGTGTCATCCACACCAAAACACAGCCAGGAGTGGGGAGGGACAGGGGCTGTTAAGGAAAGTGGCAGCAGATCTGCACTTTGCCACGGCAGCATGGATTTCTATTAAATAACAGGGACTTTAAGTTGTGAGCTCAGGAAACCAGTTTGCTTGAGCCACAAATTTAGCACTCTTCTCTTGTTTCTAAGTTCCCCATTTAAAATCAAGGGACATATGTCTGCCCTAATAGGGTAGTTGTGATTATTTAATTGGTTAGGTGAGGGTCACGTACATCGATGTAAACTCAATACATAGCATGGGTTTTGCCCATTTCCTTTCCTTTTTGAAAACAGGTAAGTAGACGAAACCTGGTGCCCTCTAAAACCAAACAGAATCTTTCTTTGCATAACATGTTACATGAACCTTAGTGGTTGTTCATTTTTATTGTATTATTTTGAATAATACTGCAGATATTTCAGAAAAGGGCAATATTGTTTCTACCGCATAAAAAAATCATCACAATATAGCCTTTTTTTTGCATTTTCCCCTTCATTTTGTTTCCAAAAAAAAACCCCAAACCCAAACCAAAACACAAATACTATTAGGAAATTTACCCTCCCACATCCCTCCCCAGAAAAGAAAATAAAAAAAAAATAAAAATCAGTAAAGTGTTAAACAAGTCAGATATTAAATGCACACCTTTACAAGCACAGCACATTAGTAACACTGCATAATACTTTAGACCATGCCAAACCATATGTATGTGTATAAAGCTACGGGTGAAATGGTTCATAGCAGCAGAATATAAAGCATGTTCTGTACAGAGCACATAGTTCCTGTGGAGATATTTGGATGAGTACAACACTTCCAAGTACCTTGACAAGTAAAAAGGAAGGAGTTGTTGGGGTTGTTTTCTGCTACAGCAGTGTGTGTTATGATTCAAAGGACAATCTTGCCTCGTCTGGGATTTTCATTTCGTGTCTAATGGATGGCCAGCTGAATGGTGTGGGTTCCACCTCTTGGCACACTTGAAACGTTCATGAGGAGTTCTGATTACTGAACTTCAGTGAAATCAAGGCCTAACAGTGCATCTACATTTGCACAGCCTTCACTGATAAGAAAACGTGTGGGCGTTTACTCTGGGAGGGAACATCATCCATCCATGGCTTTGGGGCCTTAGTTCTGCAGCTCTGGTGAGTGGAGAGAAAGATGGGGAAGGGACACTAGATTAGAAATACTGATTAGAACTTCCAAAGATGTTTTAATGTTTTGAAGTGGGCATTTTTGCAATGTCAATATGCAGCTTTCAGTTGGTTTGTTGTATTTTCTGTAGTCATATAACTCAATTTATGGGAGTATTTCTCTTCCAGAAGTGTCATTTTCCCATGGATCTGTGATTTTCATTGGTAACCTCCAGTTCTGGATGCCCAGCTGAAGACTCCCTATGAGGGAGGCCAGCGTTCACAAGGTGATGGTTCTGTGCCTTCGTAAAGGCAGGCTCTGTCAAAATGTCCTTTCCTAATGATAGAGTTGTACAAAGTTAAGCAGAACTTAAAATATTTGAAGTAGAATTGTAGTAGAGAAGTGCTCTCTTAGACTTCTGCCTTAACCACACGAAAAATACAAGTAAGATGGAGTAAAATTAAACAAATCTATTAGATTTAATGATGTGATTTGAGACAAAGGGATTCTATGAAAATGCTTTTTTAAGAGGTAACCGTAATATCTCAAAGAAATGCTGACTACACATTCAGTTCTATGTAATGTTAAGGTACACTTAGTGATTTCTAGTGAAATGTTTTCCTCTGTAGAAGGCCAGCAGCCACTTCTGTTTCTAATAACTCCAGGTGCTGGTATCTGAGCTTTGGTCATTTTGAATTGCAGAGAAGCCAGCAGAGTTTATGACATTTCTTCTGAGCCCTTAGGCTGTTGCTTGTCTCTCCCCATCAGACACCGTGCAGTGTAGTACAGTATTCCTCTACAGGTTTCTCATACAACCATTAAATAAACAGGACAAGAAAAAAAGAATAAAAGTTGTCCAGAACAAATTGGTTTGGAATATTGGCAGAAGAAAAAAAAAAAGATAGTCTAGAGATTTTGATACTAGGACCAGCATTTGCATACCTCATGGTAGGAACCATCCATCGGTTGGATTCGCATACAAAATCTGTTGTAAATCAAAGGGAGTCAGTACATAAAACTGATAGAATAAATAAGACCTGATATCACAAACCAAATACTGCTCCTTTTGCAAAACAGAGAAGTCACAACATCCCTGTCATCATCTACGCCATATCTAAATTACCTCCTGGAACACTCGTAGAGAATAATCTCCCCAGGGAAGTGGTGGATTCCCCAGCGTTGGACACTCTTATGGTTCAACTGGACAGGTGCTAGACCATCTTGTCTAGACTGTGCTTTTGCCAAGAAAGATTGGACCAGATGATTCTCGAGGTCCCTTCCAACCTGGTATTCCATGATTAAGGACCAATTACTCCAGCCTTCCACCAAACCAACTCCTATTCTGACTAAGTGCAACCCTTGATACCATTCGGGGTAGAGCAACCAGGGCCTAATCTGAAAGTATCTAGAAAGTACCTTGAAGAGGAGAAAAGCTATATAGTGCTAGACATTGTCATTACAGGATCCTTGATTTCCATTGAAGGGAATGAACAGATATACCAGCAGATAAGAGATGGACAGAGAGGCCGAGATATGCAGAGCTCTGAACCTGATCTTCTTTTCCTTCAAAACATCACCACATTTATGAAGTAACCTTCATCTCCTGTTCTACAAGCATAGAACACATTTAACTTCAGGGGATGGGAAGTGTCAACCGAAATGGAGTACTGTCCACCCAGACACTATTGAAAATGGAAAAGCTTTAGAGGTCTCCTGAAGCAGTACACATCATGTTAGAGACCATTGATTTACAAGGGCGGCAAAATTCATAGCTCGTAAGAAACATTCTCTATCCAATCTCCAGAAAAGCAGTGACTCAGAAGTGGGCCCATTCCACCACATTTTTAGACCTGTTGAAGCAAAGGGAGGGTGGAGTGAAGGCAATGAGAGCAGCTGAGGCGGTGCTTCCTGTCAGCTCCACAAACCTTGCCCTGAACAAAGAGCTTTATTAGGGGCAAAGCTCAGCCTGGCACCTGTCCTGGCCTAAGAAAAGGCTGACCCATACGCAGCTGGGTGCCAAGGCTCCCTTGGACTTCAGGGACTTTGGAGACAGCCCTTGTTTAGAGAGGAATATGCAAGAGCAGTTACAAGTCATCCCCCCGTCCCCTCACAATTTCCTCCAGAAAACCAAAAGGACATTCTGGTCCCCTTTATAGACATACATTAAAAGCTGAAATGGTCTGAAATGCTTACAGATTAGAATGCATATCTCTAGACAACATTACACCTGCCAGAAATCAAAGTAGAAAAGTTTTACAGCACATTATACAGGTCCTTCTAACTTCTAAAAAAAACATTTACTGAAATCACCATATTACAAGAAGTCATCACTAACATACCATATAATACTATTTCTTTTTCTTTTACATAATCATTACTTATATAGTAATTTTAAAAAATCACTTTTAAACAAGTATACAATTTTCACTTTAAAATTAACTGGTTAATAAAATTCTGTGCAAAACAAGCCAGCCTCTATAATTAAGTGAATTTATTTATTCATTTATACAAAAAAATATAACAAAAAAGATAGTTCTTTCAGAAATGTGTCTCCTTTTCTGTAATGGTTGAAATGGTGCCGTCTCCTTTCAGTTTGGCATCGCAGTCATTTATTGCTGCAATGTAGGCTCCTCCTCCAAGTTTCCCTCTCATTTTCAGGTCTGAGCTAGGTGTAATCAACTTCCTGAATTTCTAGAAAATTGGAGAAAATGGAAATCATTATCTTTTTCTCGGTCACAGACTCGCATTTCTTAGACCTCTTTTCTTGCATGTCTGCTTCTCCTTTCCCTGTTACAGACACATCCATAAAACTATAGAACCGAACCATGCCGTTCTTTCCAAATCACACCAAACCAAAGCCTAGAGAATGAAGGCAAAGAAAAAGGCAAAGTGAATTTTCATGCTGGTCTAGAGTAACATTCCTTTCCAGGAAGAAGGTCAGCACAGTGCTCTGGGGAAGGCCTGTTGTATGGATATGTTTTGTTTCTCATGGTATAGTCAAAGGATACTGAAAAAAAACCCAAACCAAACAAATAAAAGACTGCCAAAGTGTATTAAGGTACATTAAAGGAAAGCAAATGTGTTCAGCTGAGAACTTTCTCTTTTATAGCAAAAATGTCAGTAGCAACATTGCTGCTTACACCTTGGAGAGCAGAGATGTTGCAGGATGTTGGCTCCCTGAGAAGCTCCCAGCTGTGATGAAAAACACCCTCTCATTGTTCATGCATGGAAAACATACAGACCTGTCTGCAGCGCTTCAGGCTACAAGGCAATGCAAAACAAGATTCTATAAACAGAGTCTGTTTACTTGCAGAGACAGGTTGATGCATTAAGGAAATATTTGATGTTAAGATTTGTGTAAAAATTCCTCTTTTGACGTGCTATATTGTGGACAATTCATTTTTTTCTTTATATACCCACAGGAGAGATTACCCAAGTAGTCTCCAGGCCTTATTTAATCAGCTTAATGGAGTCACTTCAATATGGACTGTCATCAGCAAGCTCAATAAACTGCACGTTAGATTCTCCATTCAGGAAAGTAGTAACTATTACCTTGAGATTTACTCAGCCATACTCAGCTGTCATACCCCTTGGTTCTGAATGGAGGAGAATTTTGAAAGAGTAGATATAGACTGTGAGATAGATCTTTCAAAAATGCTAGTTGAGTTTATGAGGCTCAGGATCCCTCAGTACAGATACTCCTACTGTCTTGTTCTTCACATTAGCATTACCCCAGAGAGTATCAGAAAGCCTGAGAAAGCATGAAAGGGAGTGAATAAAGTCCCCTCCGTATATGTATTGAGATAGAAGGAGGCAGTGCTGGTATTCCCACTGTTACTGACTAGTGTCTAAGGAATTCTGGATGACAGAACCAGGCTTTTCTGCATTATGAGAAATCCCAAATGGCTGAATAAGATTTAGATTCTTGTTTCTTCCATTATAGCCCCTTCACTGTCTTCCTTTGGATAAAAGTTCTTACATGTAATAATCTTAACCTCAGCCTAGGCTGAGATGACCTGATACCAAATGTTAGTAAATTGCACTCAATATTTCTCTTTGCCTCTATTTCTCACTTAGAGAACTGTAATCAGGAAAACTGTCTAGAAGACATATGTGAGTGTTTGCTACCCAGCTCCTGGAGGAAAATCCTGCCAGCACAAACATTAGTTACCAAACCCATTGAAAGAAGGCAGCTGGCCTGAATGAATTGCTAGTACATGCCTTCTTGAGGGATTTAGCTGATGTTACAGACATTGTAAGCTACAAATTGAGCAGGAACAGAGCACCTTAGAGCTATAGCATTTGTTAGTTTACCACAGGCAGTGAAGGCAAAAAAACCCAAAAGAAATTCAGAAGAATTTCTGCCCAGAGAAGAAGCTGAGTCACCACCCCAGGAGGTATTTCAAAGATGTGTAGACATGGGGCTTTAGGGTTGTGGTTTAGTGGTGGACTTGATAATGTCAGGTTTACAGTTGGACTCAATGATCTTAAAGGTCTTTTCCAACCTAACCAATTCTGTGATTCTAAGAAAACAGAGAAAATTCAGGTGCTTCATTCCTCCAGTGCCTGAGAGGCCTAACCCAACTGCCACTGGAACAGGTACGTGGCACTGCTTTTTTGATTAAACTGTGCTTACTCTCATGCTGGTTTGGATTCACATTCCCTTCCCACTTCTTTTTTTTAGTATCATTAATCTGAAAATATATCTTACCTCTATGAAAGTGCCTTCTGTCTTCCACAGCTTAATGCAGATCCACAAAGGGATACAGATCATGGACGAGAGTGCCATCATCCACCCTATGCCATAGCCCCAGTCAGGGTATATGTATATATTGTTGTATTTCAAAGGCTTGTATTTCACCAGGAAAAAGATGAAGATTCCCTGAAATAAGCAGAGAAACATATTAGTGATATTTGAAAAAAACACTGCCTAGTAACAAGAAAATGATTGACTGTTTAGGCAAGGCCTGTCTCCCTAAAGTTGGAAAGTAGAGGTAAGCTTTTCAGTCAGAGAAAAAAAACCAACCCAGCAATATCTGTGTACAGCTTAAATAACATGTCTCAGTGCCTTCCACAGAAATGAGCAACCTTTCAAGTTTAAATCCTATTTACCTCTTGATGACAATAAAACCTGCACTTTGATGGCAGACAGTACCTGGGTAGGAAAGATTAAGTTTTGCTACAGTGAACCAGCTGTGATTAAGTAACACACGCTGCGCTCTCTCCAACCTGTTATGACGAAAAAGGAAAGCCAAAATTTTCAAAGCGGCCTTAATCCACTGTCTGCATCTGCAGTTCTGCAGGCCAACTCTTTCATCCTCACAAAAGCTCAAATATCTCTCTCTCAATTTGACACGTGTCTAATCAAGCAGTTTGGACCATTTAAATTTATGAAATACAGAAAAGTTACTATGCACTTTTCTCCAAAGTGGTGAAAACAGTATTCAAGAGCAAGTGATTTTGAGTTCATTTCAGAGTTGGTGAAAATGAGTCAGAAATTTTTCCCAAGTTTGCAAATGAACTGGCAGAGCTCAAGGGAACGGGGATCTCCAAGTGCCCAGCATCTGTGGTTTTGCAGTTGCTATCATGTACGTATTGGATGGCTGGAAGGTTTTAGTGTCTAATCCTCAAGCACCTGTGGATCAGATTTATGGGCAATCTGGTCAGGCTTCTTTTGTAATTCTGTCCCTGTTTCTGCTGCAGCAGGTTGCCAGAGTTGGCACCAGTACTGCTAGCTTCTGCTAAGGCAAATTCCTTCCTCTTCTTCATGCATGTGAGATGTGCTTTTGGCCTCTTCTACTACTTTTGCTAGGAGAAACGTCCTGTCTGCTTTGAAAAATGTCTACTTACCCAAAGAGAGAGAAGGAAATAGGAGGCTGAAGCAGCAAGGAAACCCATACAAGTCTGAAGGAGCTTGAGTTATGCTGGGTAGACACAGGGTATACTAGCGATGTAGTGGGAAAAAACCTCCTCCAATACAATTGGCAAATGTTCATTTAGGGCCCTGAGTTATTTTTTTTCCTATGATTATATATACCAAGATTCATCACAATTCAAAGAAAATTTAACAAGTTTTACAGAGCCTACAGAGTGTTTTTAAATTAAAACATATGCTACAAATCAATAGGCGTTTTTCTCAACCGTTGACCTATAAACAGCAGCAAAATTCTAAAAACATGCACAGACAACTCTCTTAATGTCTAAAACAAGTGATTTTGCTATTTGATACTTACTGCACAAATACCTGGAGTTAAGACCATCCAGCACCATTTAATCAATGACAGTGGTTTGTACCCAATCATATCTTCAATGTTATCATAAAAGCGATTGCTGCCTGCCCCCAACAAAAAAAACAAAGGGAAGATGTAGAAGGTACATGTAAGAGGTTGCATAGGTCAGCATTTAAAACAATAAAGAGAAAAATACAGGTTCTGGAAGAGCTCCAAAGGCTGAACCTGCTATCTTTTTCCCTGACACATACATCTCTGTCATCTGCTCTGTGCTTGTGGCAGACATTGCTGCCCACAGCTGAGTGCAGGAGCGGGTGAGCTGTCAGACACAAGTGGCTTCTGGTCAGTGATGGTCTGAGCAAGCCCGGGTAAAGCTGGGCTACGAGCTTGTGCATGCATCCCCTGCTAGCCAGGGACACATGTGATCTGAAGTTCGTATGTTGTTTCACAAAGCAAAATGTTCAGTCCTTTGTGTGCAAAAAAATGCTTGGGGATGCCACCATGAATGTACCCAGCGCTGTGGCGGTTTTCTCTTGACTTTGCTGACAGACAGAAACAGCGGAGCTAGGGACACTGTATTGTCCCTTTTGTGCTAATGAGCACAGACTGCAACTTCCCCGCATTTATGTGCAAAGGGAGCACAGACTCTTTGTGAGAGAAGAATTATTGCCACTCCTGCTTTCTAAGGCAGCGAGGGACTTCCCTGATGAAGGAAGGTGGAGGTCAGTCCTGACAAGGACGAAGGGCAAAAAGAAGAACTATCAAAACCACTATCATTTAGA